AAAAAAAAAAAAAAAAAGAATTTTTTTCTTGAAGCTGGGCATGGTGGCTCATGCCTATAATCCTAGCACTCTGGGGGGCCTAGGAGGGATCACCTGAGCTCACAAGTTGGTGACCAGCCTGAGCTAGAGTAGAGTCCCTTCCTCTAAAAATAGCTGGGCGTTGTGGCAGGCACCTGTAGTCCCAGCTACTTGGGAGGCTGAGGCAAGAAGATCACTTGAGCCCAGAAGTCTGAGGTTGCTGTGAGCTATAATGCCATGGGCATTCTACTGGGGGCAACAAAGTGAATCTCAAAAAAAAAAGAATTTTTTTCAAGGCTAAGCAAAAGGTAATGTAATGATTAAAAAACTGAGAAGTTGGGGTGCTGCCTGTGGCTCAAGGAGTAGGGCACCATATATTGGGGGTGGTGGGTTTAAGCCTGGCCCCAGCCAAAACTGCAAAAAATAAAAATAAATAAAAATAAAAAACTGAGAAGTTGAACTTATAAGAAAATCTTAAGAAAGTCATGTGTTTATGGCAATTAAAGGAAAGATTAGGCAGCGCCCATAGCTCAGCCAGTAGGGTATTAGCTGTGTGGCCAGAGTGTGGCGGCTGATGCCTGTAATCCTAGCACTCCAGGAGGCAGAGACAGGAGGCTCACTTGAGCTCAGGAGTTCAAGACCAGCCTGAGCAAGAGTGAGGACCCATGTCTACTAAAAATAGAGAAATTAGCCAGGCATGTGGTGGGTGCCTGTAGTCCCAGCTACTTGGGGAGCTGAAGTATGAGGATCACTTAAACACAGGAATTTGAGGTTGCCGTGAGATAGCACATCATGGAACTCTAGCCTGGGGCAACAGAGTGAGACTGTTAAAAAAAAAAAAGAAAAGCTAAAACAAAACAAAAAAATAATCTTAACCTTGTGTTCATAGTCCCAGCTACTCAGGAGGCTGAGGCAGATGGATCACTTGAGCCCAGGAGTTTGAGGTTGCAGTGAGCTATGATCATGCCACTGCATGCAGCCCGTAGAGACAGAGGGAGACCCAGTGGCAAAAAAAAAAAGACAATTTAAAAAATACAAACATTTACAATAGCTTGAGAAAGTTTTTTTAAACTCCCAGGAATATCTTTTGGAAGATGTGGCGATACTTTATACAGAAATTAACAATACCTGTGCTGGCTTCAGTGGCACATCTACTAAAATTGGAACTGTACAGAGGTTAGTGGCCCTTGTGCAAAGATGACAAGTAAATTCGTGAAGTGCTCCAGATTTTATTTCTTATTTCAATAGACTTACGAGGTACAAGTTTTTTTTCTGTTACATGGATGAATCTTTTTTTTTTTTTTTT